GATTCGCTGACTGGGTTAATCAGGATGAGTGTGTCGGAGACAATGAGATTGGCACAGGACAGAGCAGAGTTTAGAGCTGTTGTACATAGGGTCGCTATGAGTTGCAAGCGACTCGACGACACATAACAACAACATATATAGCAACTGAATGTACTACCTGCAGGTCAGGTATACGTTAGTCATTAAGGTTGCCTGGCTGCTTCTTAGCATTTTAAAAAGGTCTTTAGCAGCATATTTTTCTAATGCAATATGTCATTTGATTTCTTGACTACCTGTTCCAAGTGTGTTCATTATAAATCCAAATAAAATGAAATCCTTGGTAGCGTCAATCTTTTTGCCCGTTTGTGATGATATTGTTCACTGGTCCTGTTGTGGGGATTTTATGTATAAAAGTAGAGGGCGCTGCACTCGTATAGTCCATAAGGAGCTGAACTGCTAACTCAAACGCAACACCTTTGAGTGTGAGTTCACCACGGAGTCTGAGCGAAAGACTGTCAGTCTGCTCCCATGTGATTCAGAGCCTCTCAAAAACCTGCCGAAGGCTTCTGACTCAATGACAGTGAGAGACAGTAGTAGGAAGCAAAGACTTCATAGATATGGAAGAAGGTAGGAAGATGAATTTCCATTCCTTCATTGTTGCATTTTCCTCCCCCACCCCCTCCAGTTAACTTTTATCTTTGGAAAAAAAAAAATTCTTTCATTGTTGTGTAATTTCCTCTCCCCAGTCCACAGCTATAGAGTTCTTATTCTGGACTACTGTCATGCAAATATCACCTAATCATATATTCCTTTTGGCTGTTCGTTCATAGGGTTGCTATGAGTCGTCTATGACTCGACGGCATTAAACAACAATAACAATGACGACGACCAAGAGAGAGCTACGTTGGCCTAGTGGAAGGAAGCTGTGCTACCAAGCCGAAGGTGGGTGACTGTCATCTGTGGCCCTCGGCCAGGTTTAAATTGTCTTCCTGTCAAACATTCTTCTAGGTGGTATAGCACTGGTCTGTGCGTTGTTGTACAGAGGTAACTCGTGGTTGCTGTGATGCTGAACACTGTGACAGCGATGTGCCAATCGTGGTAATGGGCACCCATGGTGGACAGTGTTGGCTGGAGCTTCCCGACTAAATCAAGCCTGGAAGCAGGAGCGGCATCCACTT